GTAAAACAATCACAAGCAGAAGGTGTGATTTCTAATTTATAATCTGCGGCAGCTTCAATATAAATGCAAATAGTACAATTACTTGCTTCCTCAATCTTTTAAGCTCATATGCCAATAACTTTTGCTCTCTTCTGACAAGAAAGAAATAGTTGAACATTCTATGTTTCTGATATGTTTGTGAAAGGCACTTTGACCTCTGCTGCACTTTGAACAGAGTTTTGAAAGATACAGCCACACCATCAGCCAAGATGTTACGTCTTTCTGGCAGTCACAGTCCGTGTATTCTGGAAAAAAGTGCTTTATCTTACAAGCTGTATACAATCTCCATTTTCCAAGAGATGGCTGAGCCAGCCAAGGAACTGCAATCTGGCTTCAGAGCATAAACGAAGTGATGTCATCAAGGGTTTGCATGATTCGTTGTGCAATGGGCCAACATTTGGCCAGCAGCAGTTCCACACTCTTCTGTGGAGCAGGAGGTCTTGCAAATAAAAACATCAAAGGTGTTTCCATTTCCATAAGAGCAGATGTAATGGGATTTTTCTAGGCACGCTAACATTTGGTGTCTTCATGCTCCTTTTCCTTTTTTAATAATCCTTTCAGTGTCTTGTTCCATTAAATAGATTTTTAAAATTCACTGCTGAGTGCATGTGAGACTGTGTGTGTGTGTGTGTATGTGTGTGTGTGTGTGTGTGTGTGTGTGTGATGACAGCTACCCTCTAGGGAGAAGGGTGTGTGTGAATTTGACTCTGGACCAGGGAAGCACCTTTGTGTATGAATGAAATGCTATAGGAAGTTCTGGTCGTATAAATGGATAGCATTCCAAAGTTCATTTGTGAGTCAGTAGTTTGGAACTTGGAACACATTTTTCATAAAAGAAATGCTCTACACAGTGGATAGACTCTGAGGCCAGCCCTCGAGAGCCTGTTTAACTCATCCTGCATCTGAAACAGAATTGTTATTAGGTCTAGAAAACAACGTCTCCATGGGAACAAATGTTCATCAGTCTACTGTTTAAGGTGGAAGCCACTGACTACACAATTTTAACTAGTCTCCTAAATCACTTCGCTCTTACTCCTCTAATGAATTACCAAGAAGACAAGCTATTCAAACCACAAATTGTTTCTTAAAGATCATTTTTTCCTCTGCTGGTTTCAGGCACTTTGAAATTTTAGTAAAAGGAATACAGAGAATGAGGGAAAGAATTTCTCTAAACACTGCTGAACCACTTCAAGCTGGGTGTCTTGCCCTGTCCTTTCCCACTGGACTCTCTGCATCCCAGGGCTACCGAGCTGCCTGCAGAGACGACACAGTCAGAGTCACTAGGTTGATTTTCACATCAAAATCGGGTATTTCTTTTTTCTACCTTATCCTTACTTTTTTTTCGGTAGGATTTTACAATTTGCCTTATAATTTGCTAGGGGTCTGCTGTAACTAAGTAACGAACATTTTCGAGGTCACACTGACCACAGGAATCAGAGCTACGGAGTACAGATCCCGCTAGAAGCTGTACACATGGATCACAGAAACACAAGGCTGGGAAGAACCTCAAAGCATCGTCTCGTCTGCTCTCTGGCTTCCCGGCAGGCCGACCATTCCGAGGAGACGAGCACTAACCTATATTTTAGTGGAGGAGGATGACTTTTCCTTTAACCCTTTCTGGATCTAACAGTGTACAGATACCATTAGTGAACGAGGAGAATTGCATTTCACTTCCTCATGTTTGCTCCTACAGAAATCAAAGTATGTTGATGGGGTCGGATTCCTCGGCACATATAAATGTTGTATTTTCTGTTCCCTCTCTTCTAGGACACGCCTGAACATGCCAATGTCTAATCCTTTGGGCATTTGTCTTGTGCAGTGTGCACTGCTTGCACCCTCATCACCAGTGAAAACTCAAATCTAGTAAATGTGTTTTTTTTTTTTTTGACAGGTAGAGTTAGACAGTGAGAGAGAGAGAGAGAGAGAGAGAGAGAGAAAGGTCTTCACTCCGATGGTTCACTCCCCAAATGGCCACCATGGCCAGCACAGCACCGATCTGAAGCCAGGAGCCAGGTGCTTCCTCCTGGTCTCCCACACGGGTACAGGGGCCCAAGGACCTGGGCCATCCTCCACTGCCTTCCCGAGCCACAGCAGAGAGCTGGACTGGAAGAGGAGCAACAGGGACTAGAACCTTGCACCTACATGGGATGCCAGTGCAGCGCAGTGAGCCATGGTGCCTGCCCCCTTAGCAAATGTGGTTTATAAGGCATCTCAGAAACTGAGCTTGGTAGCATACTAAGGCATTACATAGGCATACTGAAGTGTAATCTAAGAACTAGCCCCTAAAATGTAGACTTAAAGGAAAGCCAGATTTAAGAACCATAGTAAAATAGACTTTTAAAAAATTTTTTTTATTTAGTAAATATAAATTTCCAAAGTACAGTTTATGGATTACAATGGACCCCCCCTTAATTTCCCTCCCACTCGCACCCCTCCCATCTCCCGCTCCCTCTCCCTTTCCATTCATATCAAGAGTCATTTTCAATTATCTTTCTATACAGAAGATCGATTTAGTATATATTAAGTAAAGATTTCATCAGTTTGCACCCACACAGAAACACAAAGTGTAAAATACTGTTTCAGTACTAGTTATAGCATTACTTCACCTTGGACAACACATTAAGGACAGATCCCACATGAGAAGTAAGTACACAGTGACTCCTGTTGTTGACTTAACAATTTGACACTCTTGTTTATGGCATCAGTAATCTCCCTAGGCTCTAGTCATGAGTTGCCAAGGCTATGGAAGCCTTTTGAGTTTGCCGACTTCGATCTTAATCAGACAGGGTCATAGTCAAAGTGGAAGTTCTCTCCTCCTTTCAGAGAAAGGTACCTCCTCCTTCTTTGATGGCCCTGTTCTTTCCCTGGGATCTCACTCACAGAGATCTTTCATTTAGTTGTTTTTTTTTTTTTTTTTTTTTTTTTTTTTTTTTTTTTTTTGCCAGAGTGTCTTGGCTTTCCATGCCTAAAATACTCTCATGGGCTCTTCAGCCACATCCAAATGCCTTAACGGCTGATTCTGAGGCCAGAGTGGTAGTAAAATAGACTTTATTTATACTTTCTTTCAGGTAGTTAAAAGGGCATAAGCAGCCTAATAATACTAGCTTTTCAACCAAGGAAGGAAATCAAACAGAATCAGCCTCTAAGAATTATGAATAAAATGGAATATCTTACATCTTACCAGATATAATTTGTTTGTTTGTTTGTTTGTTTTTCCCTTATGGGAACCTCACTACAGAACTTTCAACAGGTAACTTCAAGATGTTTTTTCCTGGGGCTGTCGCTTGGCCTGGAAGTTAGGATGCCAGCATTCTACTTCAGGGTGCTGGGTTTGCCATGTGGCTCCTCCCCCAGCTCCAGCATCTTGCAAATGCAAACCTTGGAAGGCAAGGCCACAGGTGATGGCTCAAGTAATTGGGTTCCTGACACCCACGTGGGAGACCTGAATTTAGTTCCTGGCTCCTGGCTTCACTTCAGTCTGGCTCTGCAGGCATCAGGGGAGTGGATTAACAGATGGGGGCAGGTGACAGCCCACTCTTTCTCAAACAGACAAATAAACTTTTCAGAGGAATTTCCAAGGGAATGAGTATTTGGATCTTTATAATGTATCTTTATAACATACTAACTGTTTACAACAAACATTGTTGGCTGTGTCATTGTCCAATTTTTTTAAGCATTTATTTATTTGAAAGGCAGAGTGACAGTGGCTAGGGAGAGAGAAAAAGAAACCTCCCATTCATTGATTCACTTCTCAAATGACCACTGTGGCTGGGCTAGGCTAAAGCCAGGAGCCAGGAGCCAGGAACTCCAGGTGGGTGGCAGGAACTCAAAGACTTGGGCCATCTTCTCCTGCCTTCCCAGGCGTGTTAGCAGGGAGCTGGATCAGAAGCAAAGCAGCTGGGACTCGAAATGTGGCTCCCTGGATCTAACTTCAGGGATCCTGGCATTGCAAATGGCGGCTTAACCAACTGCACCACAATGCCAGCTGTTGCGTTGTTCTCTTTAAACAGTTTTACTTTATCTCAAGATAAAAAGAGAAATGTGGGATAAGTAAGTTAGGACTGAGTTCCCTCTGTGTGTGAGGTTCTGAATACCTCCAAGGTGAGGATTTTATCTGAAAGAAATGGTTGTGGCTGGAAACTCTCATAATTATGATCTCAATCCGAGAACAAACCGTGAGCCTTCTTTGCCACACTCATGTCTCATTCGTTGGGTGGCAGTCATTGGTTGCTGCTCACCCTAAGTGTCCAAGGGGACAGAAGTGACTTTTTGAGACCAGCCTGATGAACTTGACCCTGAGGACACTAAACCCAGCTCTTCGACATCAGCAACACCCCTCCATGGAGACTGCTGCCCCATCTCTACATAGCTCCTGGAGGGACTGAGCTCCTACCCTGCCACCAGCATGTCCACTTGCATGACTCAGCTGTACTAGGGTACAACTGTCCCCGTGAAACAGACTAATTCTTTGGGAACCATGAATACTCTACATGCTGCTTCCGAACTCCAAGTTCCTCTGAGTTATCATAGCAGGAAGCAGGTCCCCCATCAACCAGTTTCCTCATCCAAAGAGGATTTCCTTTTACTATAACTGAAGATTTAACGCACAGGTGCAACAATACAAAGAAATATTAGAAGAAACTTTTCTTTGAACATCAGTGTTCCAGTTCAGTGGCATAACTGAGATTGACGTGTTGTTAATTTTAGCTGATGAGATGATGGCAAAGTGTACAACTGACTTCATTGTTCCTAATAAAAGTATGCTTTCTGGAAAACTTCCTGGTTTATAGAGCTCCCATGAGCGTTAACTCAAACTCCCTTCCATCCTCTGGCAAAAATACAGCATCAATGTCACTCTGATACTCATTCACAGGAGTTTGCAGGATGTCCTGGAAGACACCCACAGATTACACAGATGCACTGAAGCGAAATGCAATTAAAGATTGGAAAAGTGAACTTACCTGTTCATTTTTAGTGAGCCTGGTTTTGTTGTGGATGTCTGACGTAACGAGGTTGAACCCATGCTTCTCTGACAAGATTCGCAGAAGCAGGACCACAGTGCGGCTCCCACATTTGCCTACTCTGTTGTACACCACCTGGCTCGGGAATGGCAGCACCTGGGAGAAGCAGAAGAAGCGTGAAACACATGCGTTCAAGTTCTCAGGATTCTTCCCTCAATCCACAAGAACAAATGGTCAACACATCCAGATGAAAAGGACCCGCATCACGTTAAAGAGACAGCAGAAGCAATGAGCTAGTGTTTCTCCTCACAGCTTCCCTTGAGGGAGAATCCCCATCTGCTGACACTTACGATTGGGAAATGTCATGCTGTCTAATTACAAAGCTTCTTTTGATTCTTGCAAATCACAAAATAGATAAGTATGTGCTTTAAAGAAAACTTTTTCATAAATTATGTCTTATAAAACTTAATTTGTAGAGTGATCCAGGAAGCTGGAGTTAGGAGCTGGAGCAGGATGTCAAATCCAGCTTGGTATCACACTCTGATATGAGATGCACGTATTTAACTGCTAGGGTAACCACCAGCTACTGTCACCGTTTCTACAAGTACAATTCAGGGGGTCTTAGTATGTTACAAAATTCTGCAATCATCACCACTAACTCCAGAACACTCTCATCACCACCAAATGGAACCCAAAACTGTTAGCAATCACTTTCCATCTTCTCCTTTACTCCCAACCTCTAGTCCCTGAAGACCACTGATCCGCTGTCTGCCTCACGTTTCAGCCTATCCAATTCCAGATAATTATATAAACTGAATCACAAAACATGTGACATTCTGTGTCTAGCTTCTTTTAGTATAATGTTTCCTAGGTTCATCCATGTTGTAAATATGAATCAATACTACATTACTTTATATGGCTGACAAATATTGCATTCTATGGATGCATTCTGTTTTATCTATACATTCATCAGTGAACATATATGTAGATTATTTCTACTTTTTGGCTATTATGAATAATGTTGCCATGAATGTTTGTGTACAAAATTTTGCAGAGACATGTGTTTTTAATTATCTTATGTATATATTCAGGAGTAGAATTGCTGGATTGAATAGTAATCCAATATTTAATTTTTTGAAGAGCTGCCAAATTGTTTTCAATACAGCTGCACCATTCTACATTCCCACCAGCAATGATTCAGAGCTCCAATTTCTCCACATCCTTGCCAACACTTGCTATTGCCTCTTTTTTGTTTTTTATTATAGCCATCCTGATATTATGAAATGGTATCTCATCATGGCTATGATTTGCATTTCCCTAATGACTAATGTTGTTGAGTAACTTTTATGTGTGTTTTGACCATTTGGGTATTTACTTTAAGCATATGTCTATATAAGTCCTTTGCTCATTTTTAAATTAGGTCTTTTTATTATTGAATTTTATGAGCTGTATACATATGTATTCTGGATTTTCAAGTAAGTAATATTCAAATGTTTTTCTCCAATTCTCTGTGTTGTCTTTTTGTTTTCTTATGTCCTTAGAAGCACAGAAGTTTTCTATTTTGATATAGTTCTATTTACCTAATTTTTCTCTGGTTGCTTGTGCCTTTGTTGTCATATTTAAGAAACCATTGCCTAATTATAAAATAATAAATAATAAAATCTATGTTTTATATGAAGAGTTTTAACAGTTTTAGTTCTCACCCGTAGGTCTTTGAACTATTTTGAGTCAGTTTCAAGTGGGGTGTGAGATAATGGTTTAACTTCATTCTTTTGCATAAGGATACCCAACTGTCCCAGCACTATCTGTTACAGTGACTATTCTTTCCACATTTAACTGTTTGGCACACTCATTGGAAGTCTTAACTTACTTCTGTACTCTCAATTCTATTCCAATGATGTCTCTGGTTATCCTTATATTAATACTACAAAGTCTTTGGTTATTATAGTTTTGTTGTAAGTTTTGAAATCAGAAAGGCGAATCCTTCCAACTTTGATCTCCCTGATTATTCAAGGGTATTTTGGCTATTCTGATTCCCTTGCATTTTCATAGGAATTCTTGTATCAGGTTGTCAATTTCTAAAAAAAAGATAGTTGATATTTTGATAGGGATTGCATTCAATGCATAGATCAATTTGGGGACTATCATTTTAACAATATTAAGGTCTCTAATCCATGAACATGGGATATCTTTGTACTTACATAATTCTCCTTTGTTTTACTGATGTTTTGTACTTTTCAATGCATAAGTCTTTATACACTTTGCACTCCTTTTGTTTAATGTGTTCTTTTTAAAAAAAATTATTTATTTATTTGAAAGATAGAGAGAGAGAGACGGAGAGAGGGAGAGACAGAGAGAAAGGTCTTCTATTCACTGGTTCACTCCCCAAATGGCTGTTATGGCCAGAGCTGGGCTGATCTGAAGCCAGGAGCCAGGAGCTTTCTCTGGGTCTCCCACATGGGTTCAGGGACCCAAGGACTTGGGCCATCTTTCACTGCTTTCCCAGGCCATAGCCAAGAGCCGGATCAGGATAGGAGCAGCCAGGACATGAACCGTCGCCCATATGGGATACTGGTGCTGCAGGCGAAGGCTTAGCCTAGTATGCCACAGCACCAGCCTTGACTGTATTCTTTTTGATGTTATCATAGATGGAACTGTATTCTTAATTTTATTTTTTGATTAATTATTTATAGAAATGCAACTGATTTTTGTATATTGATCATATGTTCTGCAATCTTGTTGAACCATAACAGTTTTTTTAAAAAAATTATTTATGTATTTGAAAGGCCTAGTTACAGAGAAATAGAGAGAGAGAGAGAGAGAGAGAGAGAGAGAGATCTTCCATCCATTGGTTCACTTCCCAAATGGCTGCAACGGTGGGGACTCTTCTAGGCCAAAGCCAGGAGCATGGGTGGAATTCCATCCCTGTCTCCTATGTGGGTGACAGGGATCCAAGCACCTGGGCCATCTTCCGTTGCTCTCCCAGGGCATTAGCAGCAATTGCATCAGAAGTGGAGCAGCTGGGACTCAAACAACTGCTCATATGGGATGCCAGTGTTGAAGGTGGTGGCTTAACCCACTGAGCCACTATGCTGCCCCAGCTCTAACAGATTTTTGTGTGTGGATTCTTTAAGACTTTTTATATACAAGGTCATGTCATCTGGAAATAAAGATAGTTTTATTTCTTCCTTTCCAATACAGATCCCTTTTATTTCTTCCCTAATCACTCAGTGATAATTATTTTGATAGACTAAGAAGCCATTATGAAAAGCATCTATGATTAAACATTTATATTCCAATCAAGATATAATTTCCATTTTGAATGCTCAGCATTGAGCAACAACTGACAAATGATAACTAAAGGATTCTTTCATTTATCACATACCAGTAACAGAAGATTATAAAAAGGCCCAAAGCTAAAGAGTATAATACAGTATAAAAACATATATCTAAAACTTACCTATGGTATGCCTTTTGGATTTTTGCCTTTGTAATTATAGGTTAACTTATTTTCCAGCAATCTTTTATATACAGAGTAGCATTTCACAAATTTGGATCTTGAAAGCTAATCACCATTGGAGTAAAACACAATATCTATACCATTTATTGTACAACCAGCCATGTGCCATTGTGATATATAATTTTTGTATAGGGTGTGTGTGTGTGTGTGTGTGTGCTTTATCTTCAATTATGTATCTTTGTCATGCCTAGAATGTGCATTGGACATAAAAAGCCTCAACAGATACTGATTGGTTCTTGGCTGTTCTCAAAGATCTAATACACTGTTTACCACCAATTAATACAATGATTCTGCCAACATGTGAAGCCAAGAGGATTTTTAAACTCAATTAATCTTTCTGACCAAATGCTAATAAAAGACACCAGGGTAAAAAAATAGCGCTATAAGAGATCACTTTTATTGTGGTTTACTCAGCAAGTACCGCCCAAAAAGTATGTTCTCTGGCAACCTTGGCAAGTCAGACAGACATCAATTTGTTTTCAGTGGAGTTACCAGGGAGGTTGAACTAGCTTCGTGTTTAATGGAATGACATTAACAGTGTTGGTAAGTGGACTTTCTATTACTACCAGGCTAGGTATACAGACTATAGTTATAACAGAACTGCCAACATAAACACAGTTTAATTCCTTCGTAGAAGTAAATTGCTCAATAACTGGAGTGAACACATTTTTTGTTGTCTTGTAGTCTAGCAATGAACATCAAGGGAGAATTTATTTCAACTGAACTGACCTAGAAATGTTGAGTTACCACCTAGGTAAATACTTTATTCTGTAAGTGGAGTGTATCTTAGAAGATTTAAGTGAAGGACTAAGGCAGTAAGGAAACTTAGGTGAAAACACTTGATTTCTCTTGAATTGCTTGGATAACTGATGCATTTGCAGGCTTGGAATTTTCTATATCCTTCTGTTAAAAACCAAGGGTGTTATTTACCTTTAAGTTATTGGCTAATTAGATTGTTAAAATCTTAATTCCAACTCTTCCATTAGTTTTATGGGAAGCTCCCAAATAATAGTTATAAACATTTTAAATTTTAAAAGAACTCTTATATAAGAACAAAGTCCCTGTGTTACACCTGCAGTGGCACCTAGAACAATAATTGGAAAGAAAAGGAGAATGTGACTCCATTTGTACAGTTTCTGTGAACACCAATATACAGCTCCATGGTAGGAATGCAGAGTTAGGGGATGTGCTGTCAAACGCTGCTGCTGGAACCAGACTGACTTTAGACACAGCACACACCACCACAAACAACCCCCCTGGAATTGAGTGTGCAACTTTTAAATGATTTTCTAAACTTACATAATAGCACTGCAAAGTGGCAATTTAGGCTAAGTCAATGGTGTCGATGAAATAGCAGCAAGTGGATTCAGCAATGCTTTTGGTAAAACTATAGATTTGCTTCTCATAGTCTACTTTAAAAATCATTGCCATCTTTTGTTTGAGGTATATTTTCTGGGAAGCAAGCAAAAAATAGGGCTACATTCAATGGAGGGCTGACTCTGTCCTAGGCTCTCTGCTGTGTAAATCCTTTTAACTTTGGTTAATAATAGTGAATCAAACAGTATAATTGTCTTTTGTTTTAGCAGTGCATTTCTCTAAGGTTTAAAGGATCTGATGAGTTCAGCATCATTAATGG